TATGTGCAGCTCAGGTGCTGCTAAACCCTGGTGTAAGTGATGCTACAGGCTCCTTTCGGTGCGTCTGAGGGTCTCCTCCTACTGTCTCCTCTGTCTCCTTTGTGCTGCTGTTGCTGCTGCTGCTGCTGTGGCGGCAGCGGCTGCTGATTGTTGCTGATGCTGCTGCTGGCGGATTGTTGCTGCTGTTGCTGCTGCTGTTGCAGTTGCTGTTGCTGATGTTGCTGTTGCTGCTGCTGTTGCTGCTGTCTTTCTTCACTCTGCTTTTGCTTTATCTTTCCTAATATAAGGTTTCTGCCGTTGCTGTGTGTCTATTCTTATTCGTTTGTTTATTTGTTTGTCTCCTTTTAAATCTTTCTTGTCCCCTTTCTTCTTTCTGTCTCCTTATTCATTTCTATCTTTCTTTTTGTTTCTTCCTCGCCTGGCTATACACCCCGTCGGCGTCTCCTTTGTCTCCTTTTGTCTTCTTTTGTCTCCTTTTGTCTTTGCTTTTGTCTCCTTTTATTTCCTTTATCTCTTTTGTCTTTTTATTTCTTTTGTTTCTTTTGTCTTTATCTCTTTTTTATATCTTTGTCTCCTTTTATTTCTTTTGTCTCCTTTTATTTGTTTTGTCTCCTTTTATTTGTTTAATATATTTTGTCTCCTTTTGCTTACCTTCTCTTGTATTTGATCTATTGAATTTAGTGTGTCTCCTTTTATATCTTTTGTCTCCGTTTACTTTTTTAATTTTGTTTTATTTTTTTAGTTTGTTTCGTCTCCTTTTATTTCCTGTCTCCTTTTTATATCTTTTGTCTCATTTTACTTATTTTATTTCTTTTATTTGTTTTGTTTATTTAATTGTTTTGTCTCCTCAGTCTGTACAAGAGAGAAGTGCTAGAAAAGCTGATGCCCCACATAAAGGCGACGGGTGAGAGGTGTCTCCTCAGGGGTCTCCAAACCCTAAACCCTAAACCCTAAACCCTAAACCCTACGTTGTTTGTTAACAGCAAGCTGCAGCCTGTAGGAAGCTTCATTATTATTTTGCTGCTGCAGCAGACGAAGGAGACAGCAGCATAAAAGGAGACAGAAAGTAGCAAAGACAAAACAACACACAGATTTAACCCCATTCAGTGCTTGCTGCTGCTGCTGCTTTTGCTGCTGCTGCTGCTGCTTTCGCCGCTGCTGCTGCTGCTTTTGCTGCTGCTGCTGCTTTTGCTGCTTCTTCTTTTGCTCCTGCTGCTGTTGTTGCTGCTTCTGTTACTTCTGTTTTTGCTGCTGTTGCTGCTTCTGCATTTGCTGCTGCTTTTCTCCTCTTTTTCCGCCGCTGCTGCCGTTCCTTATACTGCTGCTGCCACTGCTGCTGCTGCTGCTGTTGCTGCTGCTGCTGCTGCTGCTGCAGGGTATGCATTTCAGATGGAGGTGGTTGTGCGCGGTCGGTCTTTGGGTTGTTCAATTGGAGAGGTGCCGATAACATTTGTCGATAGACTCTACGGTCAATCAAAACTAGGTACTGCTGCTGTTGCTGCTGCTGCTGCTGTTGCTGCTACTGTTGCTGCTGCTGCTGTTGTTGTTGCTGCTGGTGCTCACGCTTGTGGTGCTGCTGGTGTTGGTGGTGGTGCTGCTGCTGGGGTTGGCGGTGGTGCTGCTGCTGCTGTCTCCTCCTGCGTCTACTTCCCTGTCTCCTCGCTGCAGCTGCAGCAGCAGCAGCAGCAGCAGATGGGCGGGCTCAGAGTTAAATGAGAGACAAGCGGTGGCGCTGCCAGCCTCTTTTGCTGTCTCCTTCTTTGTTGTCTCCTTTGTCTCCTTCTGCTCTCCTCTATATCATCTCCTTTTTAATTATTCTTTGTCATTATCTTTCTTTTCTGTCTCCTTTTTATTGTCTCCTTTTAATTGTCTCCTTTGTATTATTATCTCCTTTTTATTATTATTTCCTTTTAATTGTCTCCTTTTAATTGTCTCCTTTTGATTGTCTCCTTTTTATTATTATTTCTTTTTTATTGTCTCCTTTTAATCGTCTCCTTTTAATTGTCTCCTTTTTGTTGTCTCCGTCTTTGTTATCTTCTCATTTTTATTGTCTCCCCTTTTCTCGTCTTCTTTGTATTGTCTCCTCCTTATTGTCTCCTTTTTTAATTATCTCTATTTTTAGTTGTCTCTATTTTTAACTATCTTTATTTTTAGTTATCTCTATTTTTAGTTGTCTCCTTTTTTAATTATCTCTAATTTTAACTGTCTCCTTTTTAACTGTCTCCTTTTTAATTGTCTCCTTTTTATTGTCTCCTTTTTGTCTCTTCAGGGACAAATGAAATCCTGCAGTACCTGCGGGGCCTTCTGTATCTCTTCTGGAGTGTATAGGCACCTCAAGCCAATCTGCATGTACACCCCAGGGTGTACAGGCACCTGGGGCCCCCCCTCTCGCCCCACAGAAGTGTCTCTTCTTCTCTCTTCAGGTGTATATACACCGCAACAGCAGCAGCAAACCCACTGCAGACACTTCAGCTGTATGTACACCTCGAGGGAATTGTCTCCTTTGTCGTCTCCTTTTACTGTCTCCTCTTGAAGGCTCAACGAGCACATCTCTTTTGCTGCTGTTGTTGTTGCTGCTGCTGTTGCTGCTGCTGCGGTAGCCGCAGCTGGGCACCTGCATGACGTTGGTTGTTCTCCTTGCCAGGCATCTTTAGCGCGGCTGTCTAGCTAGCTAGCTAGCTAGACAGCTAGCTAGCTAACTAGCTGTCTAGCTAGCTAGCCGCGCTTATGACTACTGATAGCTAGCTGTCGCTGTGGCTAGCTAGCTAGCCATCACCATAGCTAGCTAGCTAGCTATTTAGCTAGTTAGCTGCCACCTCCATGACACGGTAGCTAGCTGCTTGGCTAGCTAGCTGCTTGGCTAGCTAGCTGGCCTAGTATGTGCGGGCTGCGTGTTGTGTTTTGTCTGTTTGTATTATACGGAGGGGATGCTGTCTTACTGTACATGCAGAGACAGCTAGTTAGCTAGCTGCAGATACAGCTAGCTAGTAAGCTAGCTAGCTGCAGAGACAGCTAGCTAGCTAGGCTTCGTGCAGGGGCACCGTTGGCTAGCAACGTTTGCAAGCTTCGTTTGTCTCCTCTCGTCTTTTCTGTCTTTTATTTTGTTTTGTTTATTGATGTATCTTTGCTTCTCCTTCATAACAAAGAACCCTATTAAGAATGCGTTTAATATATATATATATATATATATTATAGTTATATATATATACATATATATATATATATATATATTAATTATATATATATAGATACACCTGAATCTAAGTAAGTTGGAGACAGAAGAGTTTGTTAGCTGCGTCTTTTCTCCTTTCTTCTTTTTGTATGTAGTATAATAAATATAATTCTATTTAACATACATACTATATAATATATATATTAACATTATATATATATATATATATATATATATATATATATA